GTTTTCTGTGTGTGTGAATGTCTGTTTCAGCGTCTGTATGTTTCTTGTGCTTTTTCTTTAGCTCTTTTGTCTTCTGTCTTGGCTCGTTTTGTTCTATTCTAGTTTATTTTTATTTTATTTTATTATTATTTTTAGATACCTTTTGTATTCTAATGAGAGAGCAAGAAACACGTGGGTTTGGGTGGTGGGGAAGCAGGAAGGATCTGGAAGGAGTTGGGAGAGGGGAAACATTAATCAGAATACATAGTAAGGGAAAAAAATCTCTTTTTATAAAATGAAAGATAAAACTCGTAGAAACCATATTGTTACCCAGGATGTGGGTTTAGGATCAAATAAAGCAGTTGTTTTTAAGATTATTTAAAGAAATGTAACACCTTCTGCCTCAAATCCATTGGGATCAAGAGGAGACTGTTCTACCTTGCTGAGCTTCTCTCTGTGACCGAAACCTATCAGGACACAGGTATTCCCTAATCCAATGGCTGTTCTTGCTTGTCAACTGATCACATGTGGAATTAACAAAAACTGAGGTGCCTGGGTGGACCTGCGAGGGACTTTTTTCTTAATTAAATCATTTGAAATGGGAAGATTCACCATTACTTTGGATCTTTTGAGGTGGGAAGATCCACCTTTAATCTGGGCCACACCTTCTGGTGGCAGCCTATGTAAAGGAGACACACACTCTTTGCCTGCTTGCCTTTGCTTTTGCTGGGAAGTCTGTTATTTCCCTTACATATACATTCATCCTATCATTTCTGTTCCTCTAGAGATTCCTGTGTAATGCAGATTTTGGTACCAGAAGTGGTTCCAGAGCAACTGAAGTATGAAGATGAATATTTAAAGTATCTGGACTAGGCTTTCCAATTTGCAGACATCTACGATTACTGATGTCTCTCTCCTAGAAGCTTGGGGAGTATTGAAAGCCTACGGTGTGAAGTATTTTGCAAAATTGCAGAGACAAATGCATTTGATTATCCTGATTCACTGGTTGTGAGAGGCAAGGGATTTGGTGACTCTGTATATAAATAAAATTTTTGACAATTTGTGGGAAAGATAAGGAAAATGATGATGCTGGTTGGTTGCTCCTAGCATTTCTGCATAAATTTACAAAGGAAAAGAATGGGCTTTGTGATGAAATTAACCAACTTCTAGCACCTCAGAATATTGATGAAAGACAACAGTGAACTCAATGATGAAACGGAGTGGCTCCAGATTCCCTTAACAGTCTAAAACTTTCTAGGTGTGCCCTGGAAGAGAATCTTCTCTCCAGCAGACACAGAGCTCAAGCTGTGGAAAAATCAAACTGAGGCCCTCATTGCAAGGTTGACTGATTTACAAAGAAAAATCAAGACCCAGCCTTGGAGGGTGTTGGTGATTAAAATAAGGTATTGATTGGTAAAGAATGGGATCCTGTAACTTGAGGTGGATGCTATAAGGCCTTGCTCCTCAGAGGTTGCAGTTTGTTATGGCCTGGCAGCTCCCTCCAAAGCTCAGCAACGTGAGGGACTCCATCCCCATCAAGACTTGCTGCTCTCTCCCTGCCCTTGTTTAGATAATGTCTCTAGGCCAGGAGGACTGACCTTATCTGAAAACTGTCTCTGAGCCTGGGGGCCTGGTTTATCTCTACAGTGACCCTTGGTATAGCTCCCTGCTAGAAGCTTTCCTCCTGCTGCTCATGTGGGAACTAAGACTTTTACTAGGAGCTTTGCTATAGGACCATGCTGCCACATAGGAAGACTTATGATAGGAGAATGCTGTTTCATGCAAATTAGGTGATGCCCCAGCTATGGTCCCCAATCCTTTATATTCCCCACACTCTGGGATAAAGTTGAGTTAGCTCACTGAACTCTTCCCATGGTCTATCCTCATCACATCCTCAGCAATCTGAACCCTGTTCCCCACTTCTGCTCCCTCCCTGCTCAAGGACAGGGGCCCAGTGATCCCAAGGAAGAGGAAGAACCACAGCAGAGATGTGTGAGAGAGCCTTATTGAAGCTGAAAATGCTGAATTATCAGATTCTCAAGGGTTTATCTCACCCAAGGAAGTAGTCTCTCCATCATTACCAGAAGGTATACTCACATAACCATCCCCTGAAATATTGCCTTTTCTGCCTTTTAGTCCTTCACTGTTTGCTAAACCAGCACTGACTTTCTCTAAAGGAAATGCCAGGCAAGGTAATACTGATGTCCTACAGGACCTACCAGTAGTTGTCTCTAGACTTATAACCAGATCTAAGGCTGAACAGGTTTCCAGAGGGGAGCTAGAAAGTACAGTGCATGAGGAGGTGTGCTACATTACTAACAAGTTAGTGAGCTTGCTGGTTATTCAAGTAGAAGTGTGGGGAATATGTGTAGAAATAGATTTTTAAGGGTATGGGATAATGGTGGAAGGAAGAGAAAACTGGATCAGGCTGAGTTTATTGATATGTGGTCCACTGAGTGGAGAGTCTATGTTTAATATGGAATCTATGAAGTAAAAAAAAAAAAGTAAAAGATGTCAAAAGTTTGTCTGAAGGGTTGGCTCAAGCATTTGTCAGAAGACGGCCTACTGAAAAGGAATTGAAGATGCCTAATATTGTCAATCCCACTAAATGAGAGTAACGACCATTACCTAAATTCTTTGGTAAAATTAAGCAAGTTTTTTTTCTTTTATTTTTCTGGCAGACAGGGCTATTTCCCTAAAGTAGGGTTTGAAAAGATGGCATTGAACATGGGAAAAATTGTAGCTTATATAACCCCCAAAACTGCAAAGCTAGGGGGTTTCCAAGGGATTTGGGTTACTTAGGAACTTCACAGAACATCTCAAAATTATTTGGCAAAATGTTTTATCTTATCATATTGGAGGTCAAGATAGAGGGTATGGAACATGTCAAATTCCAGAAAATGGGTCAAAACATGGTCAAACTCCGATTTTATAGAAAACAGGAATGAACTCATTTTGATCTTGTAACAAGATGGCTTGTGATCCTAAGATGGAGTCAGGCTGGTCCACCAGTATACCTTGGCTTAGTGTTGAGGAAGCGATCTTAAAGCTCAGGGAAGTGACAATGCTAGAGTGGGCAGGCTATGTAAAACTGAATTCTCCACAGTGAGAAGGCCCAGAAGACATGCCCTTCACTAATCTTATAAGATGAAAAATGGTTAGAGATACACCAGCACATTTGAAGAGCTTTGTTGTTTGCTGTGGATATCTGTATGCTGTGAATGTGTTGCTCTGATTGGTTAATAAATAAAGTGCTGATTGGCCAGTAGGAAGTACAGGGGGGACAAAGAGAGAGGAGAATTCCGAGAATGGGAGAGCTGAGTGAGGAGATGCTGCCAGCCGCCACTGCCATGTATAGATACTTGTAAGCTACGAGCCACATGGCAAGGTATATATTTATAGAAATGGGTTAATTTAAGATATAAGAACTAGAAGCCTGCCACAGCCATACAGTTTATAAGTAATATAAGTCTCTGTGTGTTTACTTGGGTCTGAGTGGCTGTGGGCCTGGGCGTGACTGGAAAAAACTTCATCTACAGTTGTTACTTTTTTCCGTGAAGAAAAGAACAGGGTCAGAGACCTGCTGCTCAGTTGGATGAATTAATGCAATGTGTTTAATTGGGCCCCAAAGTAGCAGGGGCCAAATGGCAGCATTAACTCACCAAAGGCAAGGTGACAGTTATCATGATGAGCTGTCTAGGAAAAGCAGTGTCCATAATGGCCTCACCCATAATGGGCAGCACAGGCAAAGTTATTTGTATGGTGGTGTGACTTGTATGAAGTTTTGGGTAATCAATCATGTTGTTTCCAGGCATGGAGTAGATAAGAGACCTACTGCATTTTGTTTGATCTCTATAGGTGGGTGAAATTCTCAAACAAATGAAAGAAAGGCTCTGTTAGATTATGGCAAAAGGGAATCTTGGCCCATGAATGAATTTCCAGATTTGAATCAGTTTGTAGACCCAGAACCCTTTGAATGAAGGGATAACCAGTTACCCCTTAGGAAGGATCTTGATAAAACACCTAAAAGCTTTACTGCTAAGTAAACTCTAATTGTTTCCCAGAGGGATCTGAGACCTTTTACAAGGATAACAGGGCACAGGGGGGGAAAAACAATTAGACTTTCTGGGGTCTGTTGGATACTGGTTCTGAATTGATGCTGATTCTAGGAAACTCCAAAGAACATTGTGGTTCTCCAGTTACAGTAGGAGCTTATGGAGGTCAGTTGATCAATGGAGTTTTGGCTAAGGTCCAACTCACATTAGATCTAGTGCATCTTTCAACTCATCCTATGGTTATTTCCCTAGTTCCAAAATGTATAATTGGTATAGATACATTTAGAAGTTAGCAGATCCAGTCCCCTCCTCCCAGGCTGAGCCAAGCGTCCCTGCATAAGGTCCAGGTTTCAAACAGCCAACTCATGCACTGAGCACAGGACCTGGTCCCACTGCCTGGATGCCTCCCAAACAGATCAAGCCAATCAACTGTCTTGTGGGATGACTCATCCCTAATGGGCTCGAGGGCCAGATGGCCCAAACAAGTAAAAAAGATACTTTCTGAGAGCCAGCCTGGGTCTGCCTGAAGGTCTTAGCAACAGCAGCTGAAACATGATCTGGAGATGACCTAGACCAATGAGAGGCAGCTATGTCACCCCAGCAGATGCATATTCATCAGACCTCCCCCCAGGGTGGGGTGGAGGGTATATAAGGCTTGCCTCTTCTTGAATAAACTGAGCTTGTTGTTTCGACATTCTCCCAGAGTCTGTGTGGTTTGACTCTGAGCCTACTTGGCCCCCACCCCCAAAGGGAACAACAGCAAGGACCCTGCTACACTGTCTCACCAATTCAGAGGGCCTGATCCACTTGGGGGCAGGAACGGGAGGGGGAGAACAAGGGAATCTGTGGCTGATATGTAGAATTAAAGTATATTGTAAAATAAAATAAAATTAATTTAAAAAAAAAAGAAGTTAGCAGAATTCTCAAGGTGGTTCCTGAACCTGTGATTTAAGAATTATTGTTGGAAAGGCTGAATGGAAATCTTTAGGGTTGCATCTGCCAGGGAAAACAGTGATTCAAAAACAGTATCACAACTGGATTCCTCCAATCCTGGAGGAACTGCAGAAATTAGTGCCGCCATCAAGGACTTGAAAGATGCAGGGGTGGTGGTTCCCAGCACATCTCCCTTTAACTTCCTTTCAGACAGCAGAGAAGACAGATGGATCATGAAGAATGACAGTTGACTATTGAAAACCCAATCAAGTAGTGACTCCAATTGCAGTTGCTGCACCAGAGATGTGGTGTCTTTACTTGGACAGGATTAACACATCTCCTGGTACATGCAGAGCTATTGATCTGGCAAATGCCTTTTTCTCAGTACTTTTTCCATAAGGACCACCATAAGCAATTTGCTTTCAGTTGTCAATATACCTTTGTGCCAGCAATATACCTTTACAGTTTTACCTTCAAGGATATATTAACTCTCCAGCACTGTGCCATAATTCAGTTTGGAGGAATCACGATCATCTGTCTCTTCCACAAAATATCACATGGGTTACTATATTGATAATATTATGCTAGTTGGATCAAATAAGCAGGAGGTAGAAATCACTTTGGACTTGCTACTAACATACATGCATACCAGAGGATGGGAAATAAATATACTGTTTTTCTATGAAACCTCATTAGTTTGTAAGTCAATTAAACAGATAACTAAAAACAAGAAAAAGGTGTGTGAATAGAGGGCCCCACGTGGGTGTCCATTGCTGCTCCTGGAAGATATGGGTTATTAAATAAAAATCTTAGTACCAGGCCTGGGTTATCTCCCTAGGAATTAATGGTCAGGGAAGCCCCAGAGGCTCCCAAACAAGACAGGCTCTTGCCATTGCTTTTGGTTGTCTATCACAACTAGATGCTATAGTGTATATGAGGATGCCCATAGTCTTACATATCTGAGTACTTGGTTCTCAGTTGGTGGAACTGTGTAGAAAGAATTAGGAGGTGTGACCTTGCCCGAAGACGTGTTCACTGGGGGTGGGCTTTGAGGTTTTAAAAGACTCACACCATTCCCAGTTTTATCACTCTCTGCCTTGTGTTTATGGATCAGATGTAAGATACCGCTCCATCTCTATACCTGCTTGCATTCTACCATGCTCCTGGGCATGATGATCATGGACTAACATCTTCAAATTGTAAGCAAGTTGCCAATAAGCTCTCCCTTTTACCAGTTGTCCTGGTAATGATGTCTCTTCACAGAAATAGAAAAGTGATTATGGTAAGGCCTTGTTGCTGAAGATGCCACACACTTTGGTTATAGGGTATACAGAGAAATCAGTCTTGGAGTGACCAGAAAACTCTTTCCCTGTGGACTAGCTTTTTTAGTGTTGAAAGGTTTTATGCAGGTCTTATTCAGTGCTAGTCCCTGAATGCTTAGTCTGACCTGCAATACAAGATGTGCTTTCTGGTGAAGTACTAGTAAGAATTTTTGTAGAGATAACTAATGATTCACTTGATTAAATCTGAGGGCTGCTCAGTGGAGAGAATTCGTATCTGCTACTGTAAATCTGGTCAGAAAAAATGAGTAGGAAAACATAGGTCCTAGAAGAGAACCTATTGATATGGTTTGTTAAATAGTCATACCAAACTGCCTTCTGAATAATTAGATTTATATCCATAGATTTGTACTGTTCTCAAGCTGTTCCAAGAAGCTTCTTATTGCAGTGGAGAGTGGTAAATGCAAAGATGTCTAGTTGTCCAAAGTGCTGAGAATAAGTGAATGAGAGTTCTCATCTGTAAATGGGACATCTGTATTGCTCAGTCACAGGTGGGACATCCATATCAGTCCCTCTGCAAATTGCAGGGAACATCATGGAGGAAGGGGCCGGAAGAAGAGAGAACTAGTGGGAATGGGAATATCCTAAAGTGCTGTCCTTTGTGTGTGACATGGCAGCTACACACATGGACTTACAGCTGCAGTGGTTACCTGCACAAGATCAAGGCAGTAACAGCTCCAGCATGGCAAGGTTAGGATCCCCAGGAGCCCTAGGGAAATATTGAAGTTGGTAGCTACTGCTAGAGGGAGCCGCCATTTTTTATTTGGAGGGGTTGCTACTGGTAGGTGGACCATGCCCCATGCATGACCCCACACTTACATGCATATGGGCAGTGTTAATGTACTCAACGGATTTTTTAAAATGGGGTGGGGGAGGCAAGAAATATGAAGGGAGAGGTTTTGAGGAGTTGGAGGGAAAGAGTAGTCTGTGGATTTGACAAAGTTGGCTGTATTATATCATTGTATAAAATTATGTAATTTTGAGAGAGAGAGAGAGAGAGCGAGAGCGCTAAATTCATCTGTGATGGCCAGTTTTACACATGAACTTGAATAGATGAAGTGATGCATAAGCGTCTGGCAAACATTATTTTGGTGTACATCTGCAGGTGTGTTTACAGGTAGATTAGCAGGTAAACTCACACACTGAATAGAACAGATTGCCTCCAATATGGGCAAGCATTACCCAAACTGTTGAGGAGTCAAATAAAAACACCGTCTCAGGAAGGTTCAATTCTTTCTGTCTGGATTGGGACAGACATTCTCATTCTCTTGGACATTAGTGCTCCTGATTCTCATGTCTTCAGATTTGGACTTTATTCTTAGATGTTAAGAAAACCATCTCTTCTCCCTCTCTCTCACTCTTACCTGGATTCAAGTTTCAGACTAATTACACTACAATTGTATCTCTTGCTTCTTCGTCTTGGAGGCAATGAATATTTTCAGATTTCTTGGCCTCTGTGATTACATAACCCAACTCCTATTTTACATGTGCATGTGTTTCTACACATGTTCATTTAGCTTATCAGCTCTGTTTTCTTAAAGTACAGTAACACACTCTTATTTCAGAAAGGAAGAAAATATTCTGGACTGTTTAGTGTTTCATTATATTTTCTTGTTTCCCTTTCCAGTATTTTTACTCATCTTTGTGCTTTATTTTATTTAAATATTTGAATTTTTGTCTTTTGTCATTTGGCTGATATGTAGGGTAGTACTAATGAAGACATTATATTGATAATAGTTTTACTATATAAACATTTGAATGCATACTAATTGAGGCATAGTACTGAAATACAAGACAAATTCTAAAGCTAATATTAACTAATTTCTGTGAAACAGTAGCATATATTGTATATGTATTTAACCTTAATCAAAGTTATTATATTTATAAGACAAACATCTATGCAAAAACTCTCCTATGGGAATTGAGGAGATGGCTCCATGGCTGAAAACACTGGTTCACATTTATGAGACTGAGCTCAAATACCTGATACTCACATGAAAAGCTGGATATGGCAGCATGCATCTATAACGCCAGCGCTGTGGGGGATTGTTCTGGACAGGAGGCTCACTGGGACTTGATGGCTGTCACCCTAGCTGAAAATAAGTGGGGCCCATGTTCAGCGAGAGTTCTTGTTACAAGAGAAGAAGTAAGAGGATGATAAAGCAGGACAGCAGATAACTCCTGGCTTCCTTGTGTGCACACATTGTGTGACCCCTTCCACAAATTCTCACACTCTAAACACACACATGCATGCACACACACTCGTGCACACCATACACTTGTTTCTTCATACAATAAAATTTATTTCTCCATATTATAAAGGAAATAATTATATAACAAGCATTTTTTAAATAAAGAAACCTACTGTATGTGATGCACCCATTGAAGTTTAATGTTATTGATTGAATTAGTAATTTGTAGTTTCTAATTTAGAAAGGAATCTGTCTGCAGACAAGCCACTGGTATATTTTTTTGCCATAAACATTAGGCTAATGTTTGTGAGGATAAATGAACACTGAGATTGAAACACCCCTGGTTTAGACTTGTGAGTAAGTGCTTGCCATACTTATCGACTTGAAGGAGCCACATGGAGCAAGGAAGTAACAGTGTTCAGTGAAGAACCTCATCTATAATGTCTCATGGAAAGTCTTCTGTTGTGATCACTGCCATGGTGGTTGATGTAGAATAAATATTCAGGGTAACTAAAAAACTTGCTTTTATTAAGTGTCAAGAAAAAAAACAAGTATATTAAAAGGAAGAATAGCAGCACAGTGATGGTCAATCTTGCTTATCAATGTGGTGGTATTTAAAATGACCATGGAAACCAACCTCCAGGTACGGGATCAGGCTAACTGAGGTGGAATACTCACCATGAATGTCAAAGTACCATTCCGTGAACTGAGATTTTGGACTGAATAAAAATGAAAAGGCAAGCGGTACCCAAAACTTCATCTTCATCTGCTTCCTGATTGGCCAGGTGCCTCATAGTCCTGAAACCATTCTTTTCCTGCCATCATGGACTATGTCCTATGATACTATCAGACGAAATAAACCTTTTCTTTCTTAAGGTTGAATTTGTCATTTATTTTGCTATAGTATTGTGGCAAATAAATAGTACACGCGAATCAGATAGAATGTCTCTGCTAGCAAATAGAGCATGTTGGATTTTCTTTAAGCTCTCTTTAATTTGAAATTTTCAGTGGAACATGTATGAATTTGCAATGGATCTGCCACTTATTAAACACAATTCTGCCAGGTCATTGTGAGAAATAATGGTTTTGTACCATATAGAAGTCAAGTAATTTACATTTGAAGGCCTACATTTCATGACTCTGACATGGCTATATTAATTCTCATGACTCTGGCATGCTTGGATTAATTCATTGACATTTCCATGTCTTTCTAGTTGTTATTTAATGAAAAAGGATAGGCTTACAAAAGTAATCTGTGAATCACACTTATGAGAACAAAAAATGTTAAGAAATATGAATAAAATCTGTTTTAAAAAATTTGAGGTTAAGTCTTACAAGATACTTATTAGTACTAGGTTAAGTCTTATCTGGCTTGTAGTGATCTGTCTTTGTACTGAGATCCTGTATTATATCTCTTATCATTTAGTTCTCCGTTCATTAATCTTTTAATACTCTATGATGGTATGTTAGGTTCACAATAAAAATTATCCCTAAATTGTGAAGTAATTAGAAAACTAAACAAATAATCAAGACAATAGACAAAATAATATTGTCGTCTCATTACTGACAAACTTGATATATGTAAAATGTGATTTGTATTTAGTCTTACAGGCTTAAGGGATTTCTAAAATATTACAAATACATGGTGGCAAAGCTACCAGCATATTAGCAAGTCTCCACGTGCTCTCCTGTTTTTCTGTATGTTAAGATGAACCAACTAATTTTTGCAATTGGTTTTGCTGTTTTTGTGCCGAAACATTTAAATGCTGTAGTACTATCATTTTTTCCCCTTTACCTTAGCAACACTGACAGAGAGCCATATGTTCAAGTGCACAATAGCAATATGAAAGCCAACTGGACCTCCAAGTCATTGCTTGGAAGTGAGCAGATCTACGAAGCTGCTGATCACAGGCTGTCTTTGATGACTTGGGTTTCATTTCCACAGCCTTTTTTAGTTCACCATATTGAAAGCACATTGTTACTTGGTCCTTTGGCAAAAAAGCCTCTTCCTGTACACCATTTATGATATTGAGCATCAGGGTAAAACACATTATCCCTATCATGAAAGAGAATAAATGGCTTGTTAACTGTATCCAATTACTTTATAGAAATTCATAGATCATTGGTGGAGATAGAGTGAAAAAGAGATAACTGAAGAGTCATAAGTAAAGAGCATGAAAGTGGAGGGAATTCAGCTCCCTTGAGAGTTTCTCAGTTGTTCTCACAACCCACTGAGGTTGACTAATGAGCTCATGGATTACTAGTTAGGGTTGCTCCCCTTGGGGGAAGAGAGCCCACTAAGTTCCTTTCTGTCTCAGGCTATGTCCCTTATGTAAATAACAGTTACTTCTGATAGTTTCTTTGAGACTACAAGTGGTTAGTATAATTTTGCCTGAGAAATTGAGCAAGGGGTCCAATTTTAAATTAACATTTGAGTTACACTTGGATGCACTCAAAATTCATTTGCATGTCTATTTCCTCTTCTAAATTGTTTCCAGCCATGTTTTTTTTTAAACACAGTCTATCAAGATTTCATAAAAATATCAAATATCCATACTAAGGTATGTAAGCAATAAGATTCCCTACATTTCAAAATATATTTCTTATGTATAATCAATCATTTAAGAGTAATTGACGCTCACAGACATTAAACCCTCTTACAAGTTAAAGCAACAGCAGAAAAATACAAAGAAATTATTGTTTAATATTAGATGCTCATAATAATATGCCTTGTTATTAAATTTCAAAGAAATCAAACTCCAAATTTTGTTATATTCTTCTCTTTTGAATATGAGCTGGTAAGATTTCTTTACTCAGGATGGTTTTGTCCTTATTGCATACTCACACTATCGAAGAAATCACAAGCTGAGATATTGAATGTGAAATCTCTAATGTGAACACTGTCTTGTGGAATATAGGTGAGTATAAATCTATTCGAAAATGCCCTGAGTTTGGAAACCTTGAGACTCCCTCTACAACATGAGACTCGGGTATTGGAGTTAAAGAGAATATAATAGAAAAATATACTTATGAACCTTAATCTTATTAGGATATCAGAATTTCATTTTATATATGTCAGTGGTATGAAATCTAAACATAATAAGAATCATCATATTATAAGATAAATTTTGATGTTATACCATGACAATAATAACTAAGGGAAATAGGCTCATGTTTCATGGGTGCATATGATGAGGGATATGTCAGACACTATCTGTGGACATTAAACTACTCATCTCAGGGGTTGAAAAAATTTAAAGATCATTAATAACTCTGTTCTACAATTTTTTTTTAAAAAAGATTTCATTTTGTGTGTATATGTCTTTTCAGCCTGTGTGTGGATGTGTGTGTGTGTGTGTGTGTGTGTGTGTGTGTGTATGCATCTCTGTGAGGATATGTATACCTGAATGCTGATGCCTATGAAGGCTACTGGCATCAGATCTCCCTGGAACTTGAGTTACATGTGGTTGTGAGAACTCAATTTGGAGCTATGGGTGCTGGGAACTGGGCTTGGATCCTCTGCATGAGGATGTTCTTAATTGCTGAGCCATGTCTCCAGATCCCACATTTTCTTTCTTATTTCAGAAATCAGGATGAAGATATTTGCTTCTTCAAAGACTGCTCTTCCCATAGAAGACGGAAAACTTTAAGAGCTGGTAATGGCAAAAACTTGTTTCAATACTATAACTTGGGCATGTAACATTTGTTTACACACCAATATCTATATGAAATGTTGTGCACAAACCCTATACCCAAAGGTATGGGTATCTATACCCTTCTACTGGAGGCATTGGTGTTTGACAATAATGTGGTATATAATTGGCTTGCTGGAAGTGAGAATAAATATTTTGGAACAATATACAAGGTATTACTGTATTCTCTTTGCAAAATTTAGATGTTGTAAGTTGACAATTCGATCACGATATCTTATACTTCCATTACACTAAAAATATGCTAATTTCTATGATCGTTAATTATCAACTTTGTTAGATTGATAAGCACCTGGGATATTAATAAATTCTACCTTAGGGTGTGTCTCTGTATTATTACTTTTAGCACTGCAGTAAATGAATATTTAACAAGAAGACTTTATGGAAGGATTTGTTTGACTTTTGGTTTGAAGATATATATATATATATCTTCAAATATATATTTATTTATGTATATATTCCATCATGATAGGAAGGCATGAGAGCAGGTGGTTCCATATTGTCAGAAGTGTGTATCTGGGACTCTTTGCATTTCACCAGACTAGAAAGCATAAAAAATGAGAAAGAGTTTGGATCAGAAGTAGGACAGGAATGTGATCCCCTAATATTCACCTTCAAGTGATCTGCTTTCTGAAACTAGGTCTTATTTCCTAATTGAACCAGTGTTTCCAAAAACATTGCCTCCAACTGGGGACAACATTTTAAAACACGTGAGCCTGTGAGGGACATTCCATAGTTAAGCTATATCATCCCACCCCTGTAGACTTACAGCCATCTTGCAATGCAAGATACATTCAGTAAAATTTCAAAAAATTCCATTATCTAGCAATTCTGACACTGTTAAAAAAAAAGTCAATGTCTTTGCTAAGATTCAGACAAATGGATAATGTGATCTTCTATGAAATCTAAAACAAATTACACACTGTCAACATGCAAAGGCACATAATAAACATTACTATTCCCAGATACAGAGATTGGGAAGGAAAAGCCAGACCAAAGCAAAACTGAAACATGACAGGGAAAAACACCAAAACCACGGACAGCATCTGGGGCTCCTGCTGGCATCATCTGTGCTTCAACAACCTTGGGTATTCCTGAGGCACCAGCTCTGTCACTTCCAGCATATAACTTTTCAGTTTGGTTGACCTCACTCGGTTTCTAAAGCTCCCCACTTCCCCCAGATATTCCACATTATTGGCATTTATAACATTCAGAGGTCTCCACTGCAATTTATGTTTCTGCTTCACTGCTTCATGCAACTCACTCTAGAGTTTGGTGCAGGGTGTCTGTGCTACACTTTGCCTTGCCCAAGTGGCTATCTGAAACCTTGGTACAATCTTCAATGACCTTATAACGTTGGAATTTTTATGCCTAAAACTCCAGCAGCACATAGACAACAGCAAATTCTGTTGCCAGCTCAAGATGTGTCTTTGTTTTTTTCCATCACAACTGCAGCTACTTCTGAAAGCTTGACTAGGTGAACCTGGAAAACACTTCTTTAGAATTCTTTAAAATTTTGGTTTCCCACCTCCTTTAAGATCTCCTCCCAACCCTCACAATCACCTTCCTAGTTCTATGAAATGTACATATAAATATATACTATGGTGGTTTGAAAAAGAATGCCCTCTCATAGGCTTATATATTTGAATGCTTAGTCACCAGGGAGTGGTACTATTTGCAAAGTTTAGAAAGATTAAGATGTGTGGCCTTGTTGGAGAAAGTGTATCACTGTGGGTAGGCTTTGAGGTTCCAAAAGTCCATGCCAAGCCCAGAGTCTCTCTCTCTTCCTACAGATCATGAGGCAGCTCTCCGCTGTTGCTCCAGAGCTTGATTGCATGCCACCATTCTCCCTGCCATGATGATAATGGAGTGCAGGGGCCCACAGAAGCTCTCTAGTGAGGCCGTACTCAAGGTCAGAAAGTCTGAACTTACTTTGCCTGGCAGGGCTGCATAATAGGATGGTTTGGCCAAAGACATGGTTACCAGGACTTTTGAAGGGTTTACATTTGTTGGTACTTTATACCTCAACATTGAAAGGGGGAGGTCTTTTGCCTCTCCCCAGCTGATGTATAAAAAGCCCATCATGAATAAACTTGGAGCAGATGGTTATTGACCCAGGGCCCTCCCGAAGCTATCCTGTGTCTCTATCTTTCTCTCCATCTACATTTATATTTCTTCCTATTATTTCTCAATTCCTCCCTCCTCCCTCTAAGAACCCTTTGACAGGTTGGGGCTGGACCCCAACAATGGACTAAACCTCTGAAACTACTAGCAAACCCCCTTTTAAATGCTTTCTTTCATAACAGTTATGTTTATCATGGAGTCTCTTCACAGCAATAGAAGAGCGACTAAGACATACAACCTCTGAGATATCCTAAACCCAAAAATACAGAAACGATGTATATTCACTTATATGTTGATATTAAATGTTATACCAATGATAACTGTGCTATAATCTGAAGAGTCACAGAGGCTAGGTAGTAGGTAGAGAGTAAGTGACTGGGGGTGCAAATAGACCTCATTTTAGGAAAAGAAAATAAGTTAGTTATGAATGGATGGGGTTACATCTAATTGAGTTGTTAGCCAAAGGGGTCCCATGTGAACCCCCAAACCATAAGGGTGCTGGAACAGGAGGATAAAGTGGGGAAAGGAAGGAAAGAGGGGGACGAAGGAGAGAATATGGGGAGAGACAGCTAAAATTAAGGGCCATTTGAGGGGTAGTATGGAAACCTAATACAGTAGATGCTTTCTAAAATATATTCACATATGAAGGTGACCTAAATGAAATCATCAAATAATTGGGGAGACAGAGCCCCAACTGGTTTTGCCTTCTCACCAAATGAAGCATCCAGTACCTAGACTGAGTTACATCTAAATGAGTTGTTGGCCAAAGGGGTCCCATGATAACCAATGCTGTTTCCAAGACGATGTAGGTTGCTTACCACAAACTGATGGCAGGGCTCCATTGCTGAAGACAGCATTTACCTAACTCATTGGACACGGAATCAATCTGGTGCCTACGCAGAGCTGTCATATTCTAGTGTCTCTTGTATAGGAAGGTACTCTGCAAGCTACCAAAAGAGAAATGTAAACAACAGCCCAGCTTCACACCTTTTGATTGAAAATGGCGCCCTGCGTACAAGAAGAGCTAGTGCAACAGTAGCAGAAAGCTTGTGGGAATAACCAAGTAATATCTGATTTGACTTACGGCCCACTCCATGAGCTGGCCTGTTTCGTTTAACACAATGATTTCCAGTTTCAACCATTTTCCTGGAAATGTACTGCTTTTATTTTACTTTATAGATGTATAAAAATCCCATCTTTTCTATGTATCTTTTTTCCTTTACCCATTAATATATTGATATGCATCTAGGTGGTTCCATTTCCTGGATATTTTGAATAGTGCATCTGTAAGCACAGATGTGTGTGTATTTGCCACTTGCCTGTCTTTCTGCATCTTAAATCTAGATAGGTACTTTTGGCCGTGACACCATTTCAATTTCAAGTAAGATTGTGTAAGGGCTTGAAAGTGTGGCTTTTGCATTTTAGAAGTAGTGTTACTAATAATTAGTATTTGGGACATTGATATGAAAAACTCCTTGATTATGGATACTCTGAACATGTAGGCCCTTTGTTTTTGTTTGCTGAATCTGGCAACCTACTTGAAAACCCTTTGACATTGCAGGAGTTTCATTACATTGAAACTTCATGGAGTCAGAAGGTCACATTCACTGCCAAGACCTGAGAGGATGAAGCACCGTGTGGAGGGAGAAAGAAAACAAAGAACATCCAGATCCCAGACACGTAACTAAAGAAAATTATTTGGAAGTGGAACCTGCCACCCCAGTGCTCCTGCGTGGATTTGATGTGAAACAAGCAATGGAGACTTCCCCACGTTCCTGACCCACAAAACTTGTTAGCAAAATAAAAGGGTATAAGCCACGAAATTGAGGGGTGGCTTGTTGTGTGACTGACGATTGATAATTAAAGTATAGCTGTGTTTGACAAACTAACAAAACTGATATCTTAGTAGGTTCCAATCTGTGTTTTGATTTGTTTTTGTTATTTGAGATCATTTCTTCTGGTTTTGATTTTCTTTGTTTATGAGCCTGTCTCAATAGAATTGAAAATTTTAGGGTCTCGGTTTCCAAAATATTGAGGCTCTTCGTTTTGAGAGAAAAGGGAATTACATTTAGTTCTCTGTCCCCAGAGGCTGTAGAATGACACATGTCCAACCCATGGCCTCTGGGCCAGTTGTAGCTCAAGGAATCCATGAATATAGTTCAACCTCAAACTGAAAACTTTCTTAAAAACATTATGAAGTATGGGGGTCTTTGTTGTGAAGTGTTTTTGCAATTTTTCTTGACTTGACTGTGTAATTCTCAAGTGTGAACTTCATACCTGATAATACCCTGTCACAATGTTGAACATGTCCATCACAATAAATACATTCTAGACTTAAAACAGGACTTTTTTATTTCAGTTCCTCATCATAGACACCAAATTTGGTAATTTGTTTTAGGCCAATATTATGAGTAACTCCAGATTTTCTCTACCCTTGTTATTAGCTTTATTATGTTCAGGGTTCAAATCATAGGTTATTATTTTTCTTCTTTTTAGACAGAGAAATGATGACTCAGATTTTTTGAGTTTTAATAAATAATAAGCTTTTCAATAGTTCTTCAAAAGAAATTTTATCTAGAGGTGTTCCCTTTTTGGTAGGGTCTTTCAGATATCTATCAATTGCACTGTGCATTTTCTTTCTATTATTTATCCTGAAATTTGAAAGTGGGTCACATAAGATCAATTCATGCTGAGGTCTTAGTGTGACTGTACCATGTCTTTCACAGATTGTCATTTTGAACCTATGCAGAATTCTTCACTCTTTAAAATGGAATCAATAAGATTCAATGTCCTAGAATAAATCAGGTAGAATCATAACTTCTAAAAACTTTCTGCTTACAAAAAGCACAAGAAGGTTTAATTTGAAGCTTTAGTTTACTTGGATTTTGAGGTCTTTAGTTTGTAACTAGATTTAATCTTTGCATTTTAATTCCTTCCTTAAAATGTACAAAGGAAAAGAAACTTATTTCAGACTTTAGGAATCTTTGATGGCTTTTTAATTTTGTATTTGGTCTTATGTGCAGAACCATAGTTTATGTTGGACAACATGAGTGGACATAATTTGACATGAGAAATAGAAGTGAAACCACACTGTTGGCTTTGGGCACAGCATGCCTTCAGAGTCAACTCCTAGTGGAATGGGAAATGGCCAGCCCTTCATAGCAATGTGTTTTGACATAAGAAGAAATCGTCGTGTTCAGTTTGTGATGGTTCTGTGCTTTCAGTCTGGAAGGTACACTGTTTTATACAGTTGTGTAAACAATGCCAGGGTTTATAGTATCATTCATGACATGGATAATTATACAGTTTGATATACTTTGTGCCATGGATCATTTCTCTGGTTAAGAAAAAGAAAAAGGAAAAGCTTCCTGTTTAAGTATTTCATTAGCTAACATTGCATAAGTGTGTTCTTTGAACTTGATCTGAATGTTTGTCTGGAGTACTTTCAGATAAATCCTCTAAGTTAAGTTTTAGATAACCATAGAGCTAAAAATGAGGATTTTTCTTCACTGTTCTTAAAAAAAAGTATGTGTGCCTATTACCCTGTACAACTGATAGCATTGAGAATTAGTCTCTAAATTTTTCATTGAGGAAGGGCCAGTTAGAATTACAAAAAAGGAAAAAAAATCCTCAATCAATTTAATTAGTTGTTATTATAAATCATTTTAGAAACACTAAGACATAAAATCTATACTGCCCATTAGTGATTTCAGGAAGATATGAGTGATTACAAGGCATGGTTAGTAAGGGATGAGCTTGCTCTGTGAAAGAGGAACCCACAACAAGTTGGTCATTTCATAATATCCATCAAATAATGGACACAAGGAAGTCATTTCTTTTTAATTTATGTGCATTGGTGTTTTGCCAGCATGTATATCTGCATGAGGGTGTTGGAGAGCCTGGAATTAGAGTTACAACTGTGAGCTGCCATGTGGGTGCTGGGAATTGAACCAAGGTCTTCTGATAGAACAGTCAGTGCTCTTAACTGCTGAGCCACCTCTCCAGCCCCAGGATGCCATATTTAACCATAGCTGTGATATTAAAATTCAGTGAATGAAGAGAGTTAGTAGGTAACTGGAAAATGTCCAAACGGGGCAGACACTTAGCCCGTTTCTGACCCTCCCACACTCACTTTCCACAATTGTGCAGTGGATGATGTCATTGCAGAACTTAGAAAGAGAAAATGAACATGCATAGTTTTGCTTCCTGCTCATCCTCTGATGTTAAAGCTGAATTATGAATCAAAGTCCTCTAGAAATGCTATATTTAAAATTTTTGACACATGATACATTTGTATATATTTATAGGGTACATCATGAAAATTATATATATGTATATACATTGTTTTTGAGCAAATTAGGATAATTAGCATTTCAATATCTGTAAACATTTAACATTTCTGTGCGTTGGAACCTTAAGGCGTTTTTCTTCTCATTATTTGGAAACAAAAAATGAATTGCTGTGGGTGATAGCCTTAATTGTTTGTACAGAATATTAGAACTAACTACCATTAGCTAGTTAGAGATACTCTTAAAAATATAGAATGCTGGTTCCCTTCTCAGAGATTTGATTCAATATTCCTAGGGTAGGCCTATAATTTTCTATTTTTCACAATTTCTCAGGTGATGCCAAGGATGCTGCTCCAGCAACCACCACACCCTGAGAGCTGATGCTGTGTTACATTTCCACCCTAAGACAACTCAAGTCTGCCCTGCTTTTTTTCCAGCTAGGAGTTTGGAAAGTGGAAGCTTTGGCCCTCATGCTGAGGTCAGAACTAACGCTGCCTCTAATATCAGTAAGATCATATTGGAGGCCAACCAGGATGTCATAAAACAAAACAAAACAAAACAAAAAAAAACCCGTGTTTTTCTTGGTTTTAGTTTTCTGACTTCCTTCAGCTTCATGTGTGTTTAAACTAGATCAGAATTTGAGCAGGAAAGTCGGGTCCAACTTTTATAACTTTGCAGGAAAACTTGAAAAATTAAGGTTACTATGCTCTCATGTGGTCAACATACATGTCAGTCAATCAGAAGAGGCTGGACTGCATGCTTAGGCTACAGGGAATACATGAAATCCTGTGTTTTGTATCAGTGAAAAGTCAATTTTCACACTGTCTAGCACTGTCTCCTGTACTTTGAAGCCCAATGCGTGCAAGAATAGCGTATACACAATTTTGCTGTCACTTATTCCAATAAGGTATTTGACTTTAGTTAGATTTCCAGGAACGATTCAAATAAGTGAAATAAATTTCTGCTCCCCAAGGCAGACTGTTGCGCAGGTTCTTACGAAGGTCTAGGCCTGATGAAATCACCTGCTGTGACTGCAGAATTGGTAATTCTGTGCTCAGTTGGCCAGCTTCATAGATGTGATCCCTCGATGTTCATATTTCAACTTTGATTAATCATCAACCCTATTCCTTCAAGGTTTTCTCTCTCACGCTGGGTGGATTATAGTCCGATGACTACTCCTAGCAGCTAGCCAGCTGGTGATAATTGCTGTTAATTTCCTGGTGTTTGGCAAGCAATTGTTCCTTGACAACTAGAGGGAGAACATGAGGAAGTGTCAGAAGGGCAGTGTTTATTCTTTCTATTTTATGATAAAATGGTACACACTTGTTGAACACTTCACAGTTGTAAAATAATACAAATCAAAATGCAAGGCTTTGAGCACAATCCTTTTATTTAGAAAAATCATTTGCACAATTTGGGTGAATTTCTGCTGTATCATCTATCCTTTGTCATGCAATGCTGCCACAATCAAGCACTTAAGATTGGGTCAATTATATATAAAGAGAGATTATTTTTTCACATTTCTGGAAGTTGAAAGTCTGTGATAAATGGTTTGGTATCTAACGAATGTCTGCCTTCTCTGCTTCCAGTGTCCCATGGTGCTGCATTACAAAAAGGTAGGCAAAAGAAAAGGGACTTAGAAAGTTCCTTCTAGCCTGTTTGTAGATGTGCTAATCCTTATAGCACCCAATTGGCAAGCTGACTGTAGCTCATGATCAGGACTTTTCATTGCTATAAATCATTTTCATAGTCAGATGCAGCATCCAGGCTTTTTCCCTTGTGAATGCTGATTTAAGTCATGATGATTGCTGCCTAGCCATAGGGACTCCTCTTGCTTAAATTTACTCTTAAAGATTGAAATCCCCCGCTGATTCTGGAAGTTCATCACATGCATAACAGAAGCCACCCCACAGTTAATGCCTTAAGTACATAGTGATGGAATTCACCTTTGATTTTTGATTTCAATTTTGAAGAAACATCTCCTTTGGTTTTAAAGCTCTTTGGGTATAATGGTTTTCTTAGAAAATGCTATTTTCTAGTCCTTTCAGTTTTGGTAAGCAGAAATTCATTACAAGAAATTGTCAAGGTCTCAAATACCTGGTTGGAATATAGATAAAAAAAAATTATTCAGAATTTAGCCCATTGGCTTGAGTACATGAATGTTGGGTGGGAGAATGCAGAATTATTATATTATAAACTCAGTGAGTTTGAAAATTAAAATACAGTGCTGTATCTCTACTATTGCAGAAATCTTTACTATCATTTACAGAGAAAAATGCATGTTCAAAACCGCTGTAATTTGCTCAAGGCTCTATAGAAAACATCAAGTCTGTGTGGTTTGGGTGCTGAGGTACATGTTCTTTCTGCCAAACATGACTGCTCCATATAGTTGAGGAACCATCAGCAAAGCAGAAATAGTATGTGCACCTAAGGGATATATCTATATCTATATCTATATTCATATTCATATATATTCATATTCATATATATATATATATATATATATATATATATATATATATGAAAGCGCTGCAAGGATGGAGATAGATGTTTTAGGGCTTAAGAACAGAGAAATGCAGCTTTATAACATATATGAGGCTTAATCCATCAGTGGTGATACAGACGACAAAATGCTCAATGAAACAAGGATGGAAAAAAAATCTTGGGAAATAACAAAGGCTGAGATGAAAAGGTTAGAAAAGTCAAGTGAATGGAAGAAGAGGAATAAACTGCTTTGTTCTGTAACTACTACAGGAAACTCGGGTTTTCGGGGAAATCAGTGACACAGAGTAATTCCAAGAACTAGTTTTGGGTCCTAAAATCAACTGGTGGATTGTCTTTGTGTGTGAGTGCGTATATGTGTGGCATATGCACGCATGTGTTCAGAAGTGTGTGGGTAGGCTGGCCCGTGCTTGTGTGTGGGAAGGCCAGAGTTCAGCAGTGTCTTCCTCCATCACTTTCCACTTTATTATTATTTTTTTTTTTTCAGAAAGAGCCTCTCGTTACATCTGGGACACACTGCTTTAGCTAGACTGGTTGGCCATT